ATACGCATATCAATTCAATCTATCAATCTCGGGAAAATCAGAAATCGTACGAAAATCGGGCAGAGTAACGGCAGTCGGTCAAATTTACACAAATCCTGCAAAAAGACACAATTTCCAAATTCTTCCAAATTACAGTAGAATCTCAATAACATCAATACAAGACTATTGCCCTATAGAAATCAAATTAAATCAAGTCCTGATTATTTTCTATTCGATTAAAATCACGTAGAATCAATTCCGACCGGTAAAATCTTCGTAGAATACAGTCAAATCGTGTACAATAATCATATCTATAACATACTAAAAGTTGTGCGGTGAAAGTTGTGCCAAATCCAAATTACGTCGAAAAGTAGACTACGAAAACACAAAATCAATCATAACTCGGTCAAAACACAATATCTTTGAAAACAGAAATAGGGTTCGGAGTCCTTACCACGAGATCTTCACTTTTCCCAACAGTAGCGTCGGACGAAAAGCGCTCCGCGGCCTCCAAAACCAGGATTTCCTCTTTTTCCCTTTCTCTTTCTCTCTCTAAAATCAGATATTTTGATTTATAAAATATTTTCTCTCTCATCAAAACGATCTCAATCTCATATATCATTTGTCTGATCGGCCCGGCCGATCGCCAAATCGTCCCGGGACGATCAGATCAGAAAAATCGTCCTGGCCGGTTCCTAGAACTATTCTCAGGCCGATATTTTCTACAGTGCCGATCGGCCTGGACGATCTAAAATCGTCCTGGACGATCCTGAGAGGAAAATTCAAATCAGAGAGGAACAGTAAGGGAACGAGGTCTCACAATATATATATTGACTTATAAAGTTATAAGAACCACCCACCTAAAAAATGTTGTCATCGACATTCCCAGACTAAAATAAGTCAGAATAAATCTAAATACAGCTATCTCATCTCACATTGCTTCTCTTAAGTAGCCTTTCTGGCGGTCATGTGCTTTCACTACATCTTGACCATCATAATCTATTTGCTCATCAATTTCTTGACATCATATGTCAGTATGATATCTGGCTCTTCTCTATAGTGCAAGTTCAGATTAACATTAATATCCTCAGCAGATAATCTCTTTCCATAATCAAATACTAATTTTCTCATATAAGATACATAAAATATATTGTGTATATATAACATATGATCTAATTACAATAACCTATAAGCAAACCCACCAATCCTCTCAATAATCTCAAAAAGTTCAATGTATATTGGAATCAACTTATTGATTCTTCCAAATCTGTTGATACCTTTTATCAGATTGACTTTGATATAAATAAAATCACCAATATGGAATTCCACCAATCTATGTTTTTTATCATAATACTTCTTATGTATATCATGTACAACTCTTAATTTTCTTCTATTTTATAAATATTTAATGTAGTGTCATCTATAAAAGCATATCCTATAACCTGTCTTTTACGCACCTCTGTCAAAGTCACTAAACTTCCTACCGTAGAAGGCTTCATAAGAAGCAATTCTTATAATGAACTGAAAATTATTATTGTATGTAAATTTTATAAGCAAAATATTATCCTCTCACTACTACCAAAGTCTAGAACACAGGTCTCAAAAGATCCTCAAATATATGAATAGTCCTTTTGGACTGTTCGTCTTACTACTAATGAAAAGCCATATTGAAGTGTAATTTTATACTCAGTCCCTATTAAATACCTCTACACTATAGGCGGATCTACGGTGTGCTGAGGGTGGGCAATTGCCCACCTGAAAAAAAAAAAAATTCATTAAGGGCGGCTTTTTCGGAAATTTGCCCCCCCTCAAAACACTTTTTTTGCCATAAATCCCGCCCGTCTGCCCAGTTTGGCCCATCTCGACGTCTCGACTCTCCGTAGAATCGCACTCGCGATTCTCTCCATCTCTTGTTCCGTCCAACTCGCAAGATCAGACCCTTCCCAAATCGCAAGTGGTCGGCGGTGTTCCCTTCGCAAATCCTAAGAGGTCGCCGGCCTTGGCTTTCGCAAATCGCAAGAGCTCGTGTTCTTGGTTCGCAACCAGCAGCCCTCTTCCACATTCGGCTTCATTGAAGGTAATATTTACTTGTTTTGATGCCTACCTACTACTCTACTTGCTCTATTTCTTTTGCTTGATGGCTGATGCTTCTCTTTGTTTCCTTATATGCATATTGAAATTTTTTTTATAGTACTTGTATTTCATTTTGCATTTGTAATAATGCTGCAAATCTTTGAAACACTTTCATGGAACTAAAACAAGTAAAATGAAAACTCTTCATCTTGTTGACCGATTATGTTTAGGTCTAGGTTGGTTTTGCTTCCTCATTTTGGAAAGCATTATATGTTGTTGGACTTTGAAAGTGGAATCAAAGGCAATAATGGAATCTGTTTGAAGTTGTACCCCAACATTAGTTGTAAGATAACTTTGCATCTTCCAATGTGGATCGATTTATAACAGTATACTTCATAACATATTATCTTCTTCACTAGTAAAATCTATAAAAGCCATAAGGTAGAGTTAAGTAGTGAAGGAGTGTCGCCTATATTGGTTAATATAGGACTGAGGTTGGGTAAGATGGGTTTAGTTATATTAGTCAAGTACTATCACACTCAGCGGGGTGGGGGCAATTGGTCCCTCGAAAAAATTTAAAAAAAAAAAAACATTTATTATATGATTTTTAGGTGATTTGTCCCAATAAATCTACTTTTTAGTCTTTATTACATGAGCTTTTAGGCAATCCCCCCCCCCCCCCCCCCCCCTTGGGTAGCCTTGGGATTGTTTTATAAGGTCTATTTGATATTGTTGCTTTCTAGATTGAACATTAAACATAGTTAACCATTCTTATCTTAATTGTTCTTTGATTTAAAATACGAGTTTTTACATCATGAATTTAATGTTGGTCTTGCAAAAATATTTTAATTCTTTTTTCTTATCGACTTTTTTATTCATCGATAATAGCTTTCATATTCAAGGGATTTCTTTCCTTCCTTTCCTCAAAAAAAAAAAAAAAAAAATCTCTACACTTTTTGCCCCCCCTGAAAATTAAGGCTGGGTCCGCCCCTGCAGTCTACACAATCTAGAGATAAATCGACTATCATGATCAGATACAATCACCTTTAGCACACCTTGCAATATGATAATATCTCGGACATATATATGTGCTAACCGATGATCAATCAAATCTGTTTGTCAGATTTAAATGAAATGCGTTGACTTCATTAGTCTATCGACAATAACCCATATAGCATCATGCCCTTATCTCGATATGGAAAAACCCATAACAAAGTCCATCATCACATCTTACCACTTTCACTCTAGAATATGTAATGACTACAACATATCACCCAGTTTTGATGCACAGCCTTCACTAACTGACATGCCTCTAGACCTGTCAATATTGGACCCGACCCGAAAACCCGACCCGAACCCGACCGTTCGACCCGAACCCGACCCGTAACCCGAAATTGACAGGTCTACATGCCTCGCACTTTGACACAAACTATGTTACATCCTTATTTAATCCAGGCCACCATAACATTCCTTTCAAATCTCTGCACAGCTTACTGCTTCTTAGATAAATATTGTAGATTGAATAATGTGCCTCATGTAAAATATCAGCTCTCAGATTACCAACTGATGGAATCCATAATTTACCTTTGCAGAAAATGGCACCAAAATCATATAGAAATAGTTTAGGCCGTCTCTTAGCATCCTCAATCTGATCTCTCAACTTCACATACTATGTATATGACTTTTGGGCTTTCTAAATTATTTTCTATAGAGTAGGGTGAATAATCATCTGAGTTAACAATTTGGATAAGTATCAACTGACACTATCTTTATCTCCCGCTTCTCTAAATCTTGAATAAAGAAGTCTATAGAAGTAAACGATGAAAAAGTACTTGATGACTTCCTACTCAAAGCATCTACTATCAAGTTCATCTTACCAAGTTGATACTAAATAGATAACTCATAATTCTTGATCAACATAAGTGATCTCCTCTGTTGTAAATTCAAATCCTTCTAAGTAAAGATGTTTTAAACTTTGATGATTAGTAAAAATCTCACATTTGACTCCCCCGGACAAGTAATGCATTCAAATCTTTAGTGCAAATACCACATATTAACTCAATATTATGTGTTAGATAGTTCCTCATATGATTTTAATTATCGAGATGCATATGCAACAACTTTATATTTTGCTAAATATAGTCTTCGCCATATTCTCCTCTCTCACATTCAGTTGATGATAATCATATCATAGATCAATATTAGAAAATATTGAACACATTTGCATCGAGATTCATGTTTGATCAAGATAATTTTTGGTGACATCAAAATTAATAATAAATAAGCATTAATTTATTTAAATTAATATTTTTAATTAATTTATAGAGACTATTAATATTGATTTAATTTTTATAATTAATGTATTTACATCATTTACTTAATTGATTATTATTAAATTCAAGTAATACATTTTTATCAACATTAATTATATTAAGAAAATAATGCATAAGATATGATAATAGCCAATTAATTATTAATTAGTAATTATAAACTAAATAAACACCAAATTATTTATTTTATAAAAATTCTTAATTATAATTTATTCCTTTTTAAGTTTATATTTTTAATTAATTAACATTAGTTGTCATAATGAAACATTTAACTTATAAATTAATATAATCAAATTAAATTAGAAATTAATATTAAAATATATTGTTATTAACTAATATTTATCTCATACCCTAATTCAGTAATTCATGAAACCATACTCGCCAAACGCGAAGTGGCGCGGGAGCTTGCTGGCGGGAATCAGCGACGGGACCGGCGGCTTCTGGAGGAGAAGAGGAGTTCGTGACTGGCTTGTTGGGTAAGAGATTCCCTTCAGCGCGGATTTCAGTTAAATTAGGGGAATCCCCGTATTTCGCCAAGCCGGGATTAAAGGTAAAAGACGGGAGAAGCGAGATGCAGGATTTGCTGTTCGTTTTGCCTGTTTGGCAAAAATTATGTTAAATATTGCTTAAATCATGCTCAAAATCTGCAAATTTTTTCTGTTTGGTTTGTTTTGAAAAATCTCTCACTCACTCAAACGCATATCCGAAGGCTGAGGATTAAATTAACATATACGTGGTTGAGGTTTAAACTAGCAATGCGCTTTTGTATAATTGTATACCGTCCTTTTTTTCAAATTTTGGTTTTTCGCTTGATATTTTTGTTGCATCGATAATAATTAAGATTTGATGTTACTTCTTTTAGGTAATTGTTATTGTTGCATCCGTGCTGAAATATTTGCTGCGGTTGGGATATTTAAAGTTCAACATCCTGGCTTTGTACGAAGATTCATCACACAAATAAATAAAAAAAAATAGGGTATAACATTTATAAAAGGCACCAAAATTTTTATGTGTAAAACCTTGAAAAGGGGAAAAATCATGGGGCATGACCCAATTTGAATGAATCCACTATTATTGATGGTTGATTATAAATAATATCCCTCCTTTGATGAAGGTGTTGACTTAATTTAGCAAATACATATTTTATATATCTTGTTACATGGTAATTGTTCTTAAAAGAGTGTTAATATGTTTGTTTGGTCACTAGGATTGTAGTCGGCGGACAAAGGTGGTCTTAGAGACCGTAGTCTATGGGCGACAGAGGTCAGAGAGACCGTAGCGAACTGGTGATGGTGGTTAGCGGGATCGTAGTCGGCGGGCGATGGTGGTCGGAGGGACCCTATTCGATGGACGACAGTGGTTGGAAGGACCGTAGTCGGGCGACGGTGGTCGGAAGGTCCGTAGTTGAGCGATGGTGGTTAGAATGACCTTAGTCAGCGGACGATGTTGGTCGGAAGGACTGTAGTCTGCGGGCAACAATAGTTAGAAGGATCGTAGTCGGCAGGAGATGATGGTCATAAAGACCATAGTCGGCGGCGACAATATTTGGGAGGAGATCCGATGTCAGTAGCATCCGGGAAGAGTTTCGGTGATAGTTGGAGAACGAGCGGAAGTCCGGCCGCGATCGATAGTCGCGAAGATCTCCGGCAATGGCAATGCATGACGGAGAGTGCAAAAGAGCTCTCAAGCCTTCTCTCCTCTTCCTCCCTTCATGCGAATGAGGGGCTATTTATAATTTTTTGGGAGTGACATTCTCATTAAATATGAACAAGATAAAGGGCATTTTGATACTGTTTCATCGGACGGTTGGTATTAGCTCCCTTGATCATAGAGTGTTTATCAAGTATTTAAGTGCCTTAGAGATGTCAGAATTGAGTGATCTTTGGCTCGTTTGATTCGTCTTGTTGAGCCCCTCCATTCGACTATAAGAATGTCATATTTGAATATCATTTGGTCATCCAATTAATGTTATGAAGCATTTAAGCAGGCTTTGGACCTTTGATTTGGTCTCATTGGGCTCAAATTGGACTAATTTTGGTGTCATTGGGTTCGACTCCTTGAGATGTTCAATTTGACTATAAGCTTGCCGAAATTGGAGTTTGGACCTAAATATAATTTTATAAGTTTTCAATTCATATTTGCATTGAGATTCGTGCTCGATTAAGAGGATGTTTTGGTGACATATCAGTAATACTTTGAGGATAAGAAAACGTTATTTTGACCAGCATAATTTCATTGCTAGAAAACGTTATTTTGACCAGCATAATTTCATTGCTAGGAGCATATTGAATGTTTAAGCGGTCTTGCACACTATCAACTAAAGAATGACGTTTTCTTTATACACAAATGTTTGATCTTGAGGGGGTCCGACATTGAAATTAGTATCTCGACAATGAGATTCTAATTAGAGTAGGGTGTGAAGTCCTTTGGAATTGGAGTTTGTTGTGATTCTTCGTTAATGAGAAAAATTGCTTAAATGCATGATTAATAAATATTAAGAAGTTACTGCAGGAGGTAAGATTAGTTGTTCTGCTGTCACTGGGTTGCACAAACTCAATGCACTCCTTGACTTGAAGATCTTGATGGATGTGATGGGAAATATCACATTGGCTTGGGTGTAGGTCGCTATGAAAGATGACGGGAGATAATATGTTGGGCTTTTAAGTCTTCAATACCAACTACAAGCACGAATGATATTTTGCTTCTTGTCTCCATTCTCCCTCCACCCGCCATGGGTTCTGCTCATTAAGACCCATCCATAGAGGAGGTTGGTCCCAAATTGAAAATGAAATAGGTGTTAAAAGTTTTTAATATAGTAATAGTTATCCTTATCAATTAGCTCAAGCTTTTGGTTTGAAGAGTATTCTACTAGTTTATTCAGCTCAACTTGGGCCCTTCATGTTTTAACCCCATGCACTACATGGAACACATTGGGAAGAAATACATGATGAGACAAATGAACCTTAAACGTAGCTCCATGCATTGCTCATTGAGGTTGTATAATGGTTACACATTCATACAAAGGCATCAATGGGCTGAATTGCTGTGTGGGCTCTTATAGAAGACTAAGTCATTGAGGAGATCATGCACAAGGATGTCTATATGCATTTGATGGAGCACATTGTGCACTTGATAATTAGACCAAGTGACCTTAAGATAGCTCTCGATCATCGAGTAAAAAATTGATGAGACGATTGCAAGCTCTTATGGAGGTACGAGGATTCTGTTGTCATCCTGGGAGACGCCAGCATTTTGGCGACAATGGTTGTAATTATATTACTTTGTTATAACATTATTAAAATATTGTGATTGTTCTTGTATATGGATTGCTCTTTTAGGCTTTTTCTCATCACTTATTGAGTTTAGTTGGCAGTAGAATCATGCATGGGGCTGAAGAGGAAGCAAGTAAAACAAATAGAAAAAAAAAGAAGAGATAGAGCAGGCTCATCCATTCAAGCTACAACCCTAACTTCTATCCTTGTTACCAACTTCATTTGCTTTTCTCATTTTATCTTCCTGTCATCGGTGTGATACTCTCGCCGCTATTTTATCATAATTTTCCCTCTCTTTACTTCCTATCCTCATTTCCAAGGATGAATAAATTTGTTTAGAAAGAGGAGAAAGAGGGAGACAAGTGATCCTTAGAGAGAGAGGGGGGGTTGTTGGAGGGAGTGGTGGAGAGAGAGTGTTGACAAAGCAAGGTATAGAAATGTAGTTCATGCATTTGTTTCTCATTTGTATAGCCCTGAGAGAGGGGGAGAGCAAGTGATAAATTTTAAAGCGGGAAGAAGTTTGCGCTTAGCTCCTTCATGCCTTTATCTTCTCTTCGTTTTCAATGTTTACTGATTCTGTTATGGCTACATGTTGAGCATATAGAGAACCATATAGATGGCTTTGGGGTTGATGGCTATCTCTCGTGGAAAGAGATTGGTAGTGAGAATTGGACCCTAATGCCTGTCTCTGCACCCTCTGTGCTGCCCTACTTCATGGTCCTGAATCCCTCTTTTTTTTGGCAATAGAATCTCAGAGTGAAGTGGTTGTGCACACATGTGAATTCATCTTGCAACATGTGGTAGTTTCGTAATCATAAGGATGAGCAATCTAGGTTGGGTCAAGGTGGTCTGATTTGATCTTCTCCAACTTAAATTAATTAATTCGATTAATGCTTTTGAATTTGCACTGTTCGTGCTTGCTTCAAAATTTTCCTTGATCATAATAGGGTGTGGTGCGTGTATGGATGTATGCATATATACACACACATACATACATATCCATACATAGATACATACATACACACATGTGTGCATGTATATGTGTGTGTTGTAGTTATTACATATTCGTTTTTTAGCCCTTTGAACTTTGAGCTCTTCCATCAATTAGATGTTCATTTTGGTTGTTAAAATCTTGCTCTTAGCAATCTAATCAGGGGAGGCTAGAACTTTTTGAACACTTCATCTTTTTAGATGGGAAGAAGGTTCTTTTAGTAGTTGAACTTTAAGTCCTTTCTTCATCATGTTAGAAAGATCTTCTAGCTTAAATTTTGATCCCTTTATCCTGTATAAGGAAAGGGAGGGGCTTTAAGCCATTGAACTTTGAACCCTTCCGTCGTCCTGTTAGAAGGGATTTTTAGCCTTTGAATTTTGAACCCTTCCTGAAGTTAGATGTTTGATATGGTTATTCAAACTTGGTTTATGTAATCTTAGTTGAAATAAGGTCTGTCAGTTTCCTTACTTAAAAATTTGTCTTATTTGTACTGGACGTTTAATATTTTTTTGTTCTAAATTTTGCTGTTTCTTTTAAGCAGGACAAATTCGTCTACTTTTAGCATGTCTCTGGTCCTAACTTGCATTATATTACCCCTTTATTTTTGTGTAATTTTTTTTGGATAAATTATCCTCTCAATCTTTATAAATATTCTTTTGGCATGAAAATTTACCAATTGTTCCTATTCTGGCGTTTGCAGAAGAATGAGCAGGATGAAGGGGCTCATAAGAACTCTCAGAATAATAAGTCAGCCTCAGGTAGCATATTGTTACAAAACAACCTTATCTTGTGATCTTGTCTATTGTGAGAACCTTTTTATACGTGAAGAAATGGATCAGAATATTTCTTCTGATATATATATATATATATATTGTTTTCATGATTGCTTCCTTTTATTCATGGACAAATCGAGCTTTATCCAATTCCCATACTGAACATGTGTTCTACCTTAATTGATAGTCTTAGAAAGTTGATTTGATTCTTAACTTCCTTGTATGTACTAATGGTACTTCAGTGATAAGAAAGGTTTTCTTCCCCATTCATTTGAAGATTGGAAGTATTCCGTTAAAACTCCATGTTGGTGCGTTAATGTGTTATGATCATTCTCCAGGTACTAGATGCTCGTGTATGCAATCATCAATTGCTGGCCAGTGGTTTCTTGTTTTGTTTAACCTTGAATTATATTGTCCAATCCTTCTTTCCATCCTTGTCTCTTTATGAAAACTTATTTTCCTATAGTCTTTAGCTGAAATCAAGCTACATGCTTTTTATTTATGTTTGTACTCTTGTTCTCATCTTGTTTTTTATAATCTATGAGTGATAATTTATTAGTTTTCACTTTGCATTAACTACTGCTAATGTACCTTATGCAATTTGTAAGAGTTGTTTGTCTTTGTGATGGGATTTCTCATTTAATGCTGAAGAATTTAAGATGTATCTGAACTATTTAGTGCTCTGATGTATATTTATAAGATTTTGTATGGAACAACTTTTTGACTGCTTTCGTGGTAAGAAAAGTTGCTAGTATTGAAAGACAGCTTTTTGGTTGCTTTTTCAAAAATTTCCTTTAAAATATTGTTTTTGAAAAAATGTTTCTAAAATTGTGGCAGAGGAAAGAGCTTTAAAAGGCAAAAAACCAAAAATGTTTAAGTGGCCCCAAACAAAATCTGAAATGTATATATGAATTTGACTTATTTTAAATGATCACAAAGTGTAATTTAAGATTGCATTAGTTCACAAGTTATCTTTTCTTGTTAGTTTGGTAGGTAATTAGCAATGGAATTCTCACCATGTTGGTGAGTGCTAATTGGTATTAAAGTAAAGCATGACTGGTTTTTCATAGAAATGAACGTTATCACAGCCTCACAGGAGGCTATGCTATATGTCATTGCAACAATAATGTTTGATTCCGTTTGTAGACTCTACGCATTTTAATTGCTTCAAAGGATGATGAAGATATTTCAGAATTATTCATATGGTCCATTTTATTCACATATCGTACATATTAAAAAACAGTTAGTGTGCTGTCGCCTTTGAGGATTTCTTATGTCATGCATGAAAACTGAAGATTATTCATGAGATGGATGCGATATTTTTCTGTCTGTTATTTTATGACTGTTTAACCAAGTTTGTTAAGATAAATGCAAAATGGTATTTGAGTTGAACATGTAGGCATTGTGTTAGTTTAATTAATTTTAGTGGGGTTGTTCGATTTGAGGAAAAGGAAATGCAGAGTTGAAAAAAAATATAGTGTAAACTAAAAGTGGTGTATTGAAAATACTTTTGAGTTTAGGCATTATATTAGCTTAAGACAAATGCAGGATTTGTCTTTTTTTTTTTTTTCCTGTTTGGTTAAAGCAACGGAATGTAAAGTAAAATAATAGTGCATTTGAAATAATAGTTGATTAGATGAAGCCGATAATGAGGGCAACGGGCGGTGGCAGGCATGGCTGGATGCTGTTGATCGACATCACTCCAAGATGTGTATTGGGAATTCGCTCAAAATAGGCAAATTTCAAATATACTCAAAATGAACTATAGAGTTATTTTTAAATGCAATTTCAAAATATGTTGCATTTGAAACATTGCCATCCAAGCACCCAAATTTTTATAACCCTTGTGTTTACTTTACACTCCTAAATGCAGCCAACCAAGTTGTCCCTTGCTATCCTAGAAGTTCATACCCTGTACCTGTTTATTATATGCCATTGGAACAGATGACCAAGCTTGATTTGGCAAATAGAATTGATAGTTTTGGATGCACCAATTTAGATTGATGAGTAGCTAATTGCTGTTAGATGGCTTTAATTTCACTACTTAACTGTTGGTGATTAAGCTCTCTTGAAGTTCTGCATGTTAGTTTGTGTTTCAGCTTCGCCACGATATATTTCTGATCTGTTGCTGATCCTATAATCTACAAATTCAGCCTCGTTGTTTCTATTCTAATATTGCATCTCTTGTTTGTTAAGATGGTAGGCCTTTTTGAAATCAATAGATCTTTTTCTTGTTTGATTATGAACTTTTCTAGTCACGGATGCAAAGAACAACTCAATGGAATGCTTTTTTCTTGATAAAATATTTTTATATTGAATTAAGCCGCTTAATGCAAAAATGTATTTTAAATTTTATTGTGAATTCCGTGCAGGTCATTCCTCTGTCAAGGGGAAACAAAGGTTCATCTTACCAATGTCTGGCTAGCGCCACTACAACTTCAGGTCATACCAATGTTGAGAAGCCTGTTGAGAATGCTTCTTCTGAAGGCAAACAAACTGGAAACTCGGATCAAACCAATCCACCTAGTAGATCTATTCGTGGAGGGGTTGGTACTTGCTAAAGCCTCTTATATGCTCTTTCTTTTTACTGATTTCCCTTTCTCTTTAGAAAGGGATCTGAAAATTCTTGATCATACTGTAGTTATGCGCAGAAAAATCTCAAAATAGTTTCTAGATTATTCGTGTATGGCCAATATAGTCCAAGAGTATCATATTGCTCCAATTTAGTCCCTCGAATATACAAATTGATCCAAAATAGTCCCTTATAGTATAATTGTGATATAAAATTGATCCCAATTTAGTCCTTTGACTTCGCAAAATTGATCATAATTTATCCAAAAGCATTTTGGATTAATTTTGTATAGTTGAGCTACTAAATTGATGCAACGTTATACTCTGAGATTAAAATGGTCATATACGAATAGTCGGAGGACCAAAGGTTATTAAGATTTCAATTTTATTTAGCTTCCAAGGATGTTAAGGGTGCGTTTGGGACGGCTGCAGCTGTCGGTAAAGCATGTTGTGAAATCGCTGTACATAAAGCTGCTTTTTGAAATTGTTGTATAGAAAGCAGTACATTTTGTTTGGCCAATATAACTGTCAAGTTGCTGTGCTGCAGCTGTATATGAATAAATTACCTATATACCCTCATATGTATTAAGATGAATAAAATTTATTCAAATATTATTTCTTTTCAAAATTTTTTGTTAACAAAATAAAAATTATTAATTAATATCAAATTATTTTATCAAATATTTTATTAGTTTATATATCAAATATTTTATAAGTTTACATATAAAAATACTATAAATTTTTATTGACATTGTCCTTATCATACTTCAAAATAATTTTACTTGTATTCACTTTCTTCCAACCAAACAGTCCCTTAGTGGAAAACTAGTTCAAAGACATGAAAAGCTACCCCTAACAGAAGCCTATTGGTTAAAAGAAGAGAAAAGTAGCTGAATTATTCATACTATGAGAAACAAATTAAAACAACTATGAAAAAACATATAGCGGATGATTGTTATCTAATGGCATCAAGATGTATTTGATACTGTCCGGATTTATTTGTTCCTTCCTCTATTTTTCCTTCATTAGTTGACTGTGCGATGATAGGTGCAACCATACAACACAGGTAAAATATGATCCCTTGCTTCTGCTGTCTGTTAAGACTTCCTAAGATAGGTTAACTGTATTCTCCATTCTGGGAGTCTGCTTTTGTATTAATTGGAAAGTCATTATTCATTGGAAAGTCATGTGTATTTGCATTGATTTAGTTGTTTTTTTCATAGTTGTTTTAATTTGTTTCTCAGATTTTTAAATGTTACAAAATGGGCAATAGCCGGAACCTTGCAGCTGTACCCGTAAGAAGATTGTGCCATCTTTTTTAAAAAAAAATTCCATGTGAAAGGGCAAAAGAATGGATACCTCACAGTGAGCCAACCCTTGTTATTCTAAGAAAAAAGGACGGATACATGACAAACTCAAAAGGAATCATCATGAATCTTAATATTTATGGGCATTCATGTGAATCTTTGCAGCATATTTTTCGTGTTCTCTACAAAAAATCTAACATCGAAACAATTAAAAAAAACTAAATAGAAAAAATTCTTTCTTCGATTATGCATTTACTCAAAACTCCTGTAATTTGATAAGAACATAGACAGAGAACATAGACCGATAGATCAATTAGTTATTATTTTCTAATCAGCAAATCAATCAAAACAACCACGTACTTAAATGAAAAGGAGAAAATCACAATCGTAATAACAAAAAAAGAGCAAAGATAAAGAATCAGAATCCCCAATCCATCATATATATATATTCACCAATTTGGTTGAGAAGTTAACCGATAAAACTGAGTAATACCCAACAAATGATTCAGTAATCGCCGTTTCTCTTTTCAATTCCGATCGGATCTTACTATCGGTTCTCTTGTTCTTCCCCTTCTTAATCTAAAATGTGAAATTAACTATTGAGACCGACGAGAACTGCTAGATGGTTTAAAACTTGAAATGAGAATCCAACTCTCTATTAGAGGAGAAGCTACAAATGAGGGGAGAGATTGATAATAATACGAAACCGGCAGCGAACTACCTTGCTTAACTCCCGATCCGACAAACAACAACTTGTCGAGGGTGGCAGAGACAACCGCTTGCGTGGGAGTTGACAGCTACAAGAAAGGAAGAAAGCAAACCTTCGCCGTTCCTATCGCTGAGCGAGATGAGACGGAAGCGGAGGATTCGCCTGGTTTAAAAGAAATTTGTGAGGGAGTAAGGGCATTACCGTATTTAGGATGTCTATGTATAGGGGGAAGCAGGCGAACCGCAGAAGGCTTTTTACGGTTGTGAGAAGCAACCGCGGGACGTGAAATTGTCGAGAACGGAGCGCCATCGGTCCGTCCCAAACGACCTCTCGGTTGTATTTGGTAAAGCACAGCAGCGCAACACCCGTCCCAAACGCGCCCTAATACTCATTCTCGAGGTTCTGAAAACTAGACTAGACAACGAACCGGAAGAAGGAGAGGTTCACGGTTCGACCGGTCTAATCGGGGTTGAATCGGATGATATAATAAATAATAAATATTATTTAAATTTTAATAAAATTAACATAATAATAATGGTATCATGCAAAGTATGAGACAAAAAATTAAACTAAAACAAACTATGAAACATAAAACTTATATAATTAAGTAAAATAATTATTTTAAAATCTCACATAAAAGTAAAAAAAATTAAATATCATAATTATAAGAATTTACACTCATAAAAATATGATAATTTTAAATTTAAATATTTTTCAAATTTTAAATTTGATTTTTAATTTAAATTTAATTTACATATCTTGCTTAAAGAGCTCACATGGAGGGCCATGTGAAGATGTTTCATGATGGTTTGAGGGCAAAAATGTTTATAATAAAAAATGTATTATAATTTTAATCAAATGTTTTAAATATATATTAATTAATTTATTTAAAAAAATATTTAAAATTTGTGGGATTTGAACCGGCCGATTCAAAATAACAGGGCTGATTCGCCGGTTGAACCAGCAGTTCTGACCGGTTCAGTCCGATTCGATGCAGAAGCGGTTTTAAGACTGAACCGGACCGGTCTTGTGACCGGTTCATGGTTGAACTGGTCGAACTGACTGGTCCAGTCCGGTTTTTAAAACATTGCTCTTTTTTTTTTATTCCCATTAATAATTTAGTTATTTATTACTTAATTTTAGGATTAATAATTGATTGCATCACCTATAAATATGTATCTCTTCTATCATTTGGAGAAATAAATATGATTAGAAGATCTTTCCTCCTCTATTTGTTTCTTATTTTTATCTTGGCATCCGAGCAATTTGTCTTTTGCTTGTGGTGAGAATTTCTAAATCGAAGTCTTTTTTCATATGACCAAGCTCCGCTTTGTAATTTCAAGAGCTCACTTGAAAGTATCTGACGCTTGAGAATCTACCAATAAGAAGTAAAAATCCATTCGCTTGCACTTTGGTTTGACGTTCCGTACTCTGCTTTGTTCTGTGAACTTCTGATCTCGTGATTTTGAATTCTTTATCTTGACTTAGCTTCGGTTCTGAACAAGCATTCCGCCTAGGCAAACCTCCACTTTGCTCGGTGCATTGCAAGACTTCTATGACTCCAGACTCCTAGAACTTGCTGGCTCGCTTCACCTCAATCTCAACCTCACGAGTTCCTTTGGCTCGCTTCACCTCAATCTCAACCTTACCTGGGTTCGATGTTACTATTTTTTTTTTTCTACTAGGTATAAATGCCAAGAGTTTTTAGAGATGATGATTAGTAATGCTAAGGAAAATGTTGATCTCTACCTCCTAGATGCAATAAAATCCTACATTACAATAAAATATGCTCAATATGTATCTTATCCGAAAAAGAGTGCAATCATATGGTGGCACATACATCTTGGTCATCCTATCTTTATGAATTTCAAAAAAACTATTCTCATAATCTCATCTTCTGTCAATAATAAAAATCTAAAGTTATTTCAATGTGAAGCTTTTAAACTATCAAAACACACCAATAATACCTATTCTAGCTATTCTTATAAAGCCTCTCAATCTTTCTCTGTCATTCATAATGATATTTGAGGACTATCTTGTGTGAACAATATCTATGGGTCTGAATGGTTTATATCCTTTATAGATGATTACTAGAGCTACTTAGATTTTCTTAATGAATGAGAAATTTGAAATTTATCAAATTGGTTAGAATTCCATTTTTTATGCAAATCTAGTTCAATACTCAAATCCAAGTCCTTAGGATTGACAATGTGAAAGACAATTTCCATTTAATTCTTAGGGATTATCTTCTTCAACAAGAGATTGTATACCAAAATTCTTGTATATGTACATTAAAGCTCTTGTATATATATTCCTCATTAGACTATGATTGTTGAAAGGGAAAAATAGGCATTTTCTAGAAGTTGCTAGATCCATCATGTTTAGTAGCAACATCCCAAATCAATAATGAGGAGAGATCGTTTTAACATATGCATACCTCTTTAATTGAATACTATCATGGATTCTTAAATTTAAAATCCTTTACTAAGTTCTCATCAAACTATATTCCACAAATAAACTTATTTTCATCATTCCACTCAAAGTGTGTTATACTTTTATTTACATCCCACATCATGAATAGAGCAAATTTGATCCAAAAGTCAGTAAGTGCATTTTTATGAGAACTAGCTATTCTTTTGCAAAACTTACATTCATGGGGAGAATTCCAACATCCTTTAGTATTGTGAGTTTTATATCCATCCCAGTATCCCACTGACCTCTAGTCTACTTCTCTCCCTGAAGTTCAAAACTCTAGGCACACTGAAAATTCTCAAGTTCATATAGAACAAACTAAATATAAAGGTATGGTTTATAGTAAATTTCAGGAACAATCAACAAACATTGGTGAACCAAGCATTCCTCCACAGAAAAAACTATCTGTTTGAACCAAGCTTTGACCATCCTTCATAAGGTAACATTAACCTTAACATTGATATACTAATTGCTTATATGAAAGGTATAATGATAACAAAGCTTTGTATAAAATATTTGATTGGTGGATACATCCCTTATAATAATTTATCTCCTTAGTTCATAGGAAATGTATGAGGATGATAAAATCATGTGCAAACTATCCAGTTTGTGAATACATCTCTTAACTAACTTATCTTTCTACCATTCCATTTAAGTCTTTCGATGTTCAGCTTTTGTTCATATCCCACCTCATGAACAAAGTAAACTTGACCCAAAAATCATTACTTGCATATTTTTTTAGTTATTTCCTGAATCAATGAGAGTATAAGTATTACTATCCTAAAAAAATAAATTCTATACTTCTATGGATGTAATAGTTTTTTTAAAACTAGCCATTCTTTCCAAAAATCCATATTCAAGGGGAGAATTTCATCTCTCTTCAAGAATATGAGTTTTGTATCTACCTCATCGACCTGCAGCTTCTATCTTTCCCTAATATCCTTAAAGTCTAAGACCTATCTCACATGAAAACTTCTGAAAATCGCATACAAACTAGATAAAAAGGCATTGTCTATATTAGACATTAGGAACATTCAAAAGGCCCTAGTGAGCCGAATATTTTTCCATAACAAAACCACATATCCAAACCAAGCTTCGATCATTCTTCACAAGGTAACATTAATCTTGACCTTAATATCCCGATTGATCATGGGATGACAAACCTTGTGCAAAATATTCGATCATCTGATATATCACTTATAATAACTTATCTTCTTAGTTTTTTAGGTTTTTACCACAACTTTTTTTAGTGTGAATATTCTCAACAATATTAAGGAAGCATTAAAAATATATAAATGGAGAGATGGTGCTCATGAAGAAATGCAAGCGCTTGGCATATGGAAGCTCTCGATATTATCAAAAGGAATAAACGTGTTGGATGCAAATGGATATTCAGTATGAAATAAAGGTTGTTGATAGCATTGAAAGATACAAAGCTAGATTGGTTTTAAAAGTATTTACTCAAACTTATGGCATTTAGCATCAAAAAAATCTTTTTATCAGTTGCTAAGCTTAACTCTGTTAGAGCCATTCTCTATCTTGCTGTGAATCTTGATTGGTCACTTTATTAATTACATGTAAAAAAATGCCTTTCTAAATGGATACCTTGAATAAGAATTTTTATATGAATATTACGCTTGAATTTCATACCAGTAACAACAAAGATAAAGGTCGTAAATTTGAGAAATCCTTATATTGCCTGAATTAATTTCTTAGAGCCCGGTTTAGGAGATTGACTACTACAATTAAAAAGTATGGATGTGCTAAAGGACAAGTTGGTTACACCTTATTTGTAAAGAAATCACCATTGATAAAATCATTATCCTAAGTGTCTATATTGATGTTGTTATTCTAAATGGCAATTAAGATGAAAAAATCAGGAGACTAAAGGGTTTCTTAGTGAATAAATTTGAAATTAACGATCTAGGAGTCCTAAAATATTTCCTTGGTATGAAAATTGAAAGCAAACAGATGTATATTTATTTTTCAACTAAAATATACATTGGACATTTTAAAAGAAATTGGGATGTTAGGGTACAAACCAACAAATATTCCTTTGGATTCTATCAATAAAATAAAAATAAATGGTGTCACTCTCGAAGTTGACAAAGAAAAATCTTATTTATCTCTCACATGCACATCCTGATTTTTGTTATTCTGTCAATTTGGCTAGCCGATTTATGCTGCTCCTACTAAGGAACACGTTGATGCAGTATATAGAGGACTAAGGCACCTAAAGAAAACCTTGGAAAATGTTTATTCTTCAAAAAAAGAAATTAATAAGAGTATAAAAGTTTTCATTGATGCTAATTGGACTGGGTCCATAATTGATTAAAAAATCTTCTTTGACTATTGTTCGTTCATACGAGAAATCCTTGTCATATAGAGAAGTAAAAAAATAGCTAGTGTCTGATAGAATCATAGAAGCAGCATTAAAGCTGAATTTATTGTCACAACTCGTGAAGTTTTTGAATAAATGTGGTTAAAAAGTTATTGGAATACCTAAACAACTACATGAAAGAACCAATGATAATGAGATGTAATAATTAAGATACAATCAACATTGTCAAAGAGCTAGTCCACAACGATTGATTTAAGCTTGATAGACATTTTATAAAGAAAAAAAAAAGGTCAATGGATCATTTAAATACAATACACTCTTATAAAAGTTTAAATAGCTGATATATCATAATCAAAGCCCCTGATCAATCACGATTCAATAACCTCACTTATAAACTAGAAATGATAAACATATATTCCCAGCTTGAGGAGGAATATAAAAATTCTTTAACTCATGGGACTCATGTTAGTTCCTCATTAAGCAATCAACGTGCTATGATTAAATCAACCGTTTGATGATTACTCTCATTAGCAAATTTGCCCAAATTTGTTATTTCTTTTTGTGTCCCATTAATTATGTTCTAATTCGTTACTTTATTTTAGGACTAATAATTGTTTGTACTCACACCTGTAAATATTTATCTCTTCTACTGCTTGGAGTAAGAAATACCATTATCCTCTTATATTTGTCTCCTATTTTTACCATTTTTTTGTATGTTTGTGCTTATTATCCTTTGGTCGCAGTGTTTTGTGTCTATTCTGCATTCAAATTGGCTGTTTGTTACAATAACTAGCTTTATGCAACTAGTGAAAAATGTTATGAGTTTGTGAGCTATCTACTAGGTTGCCAATCTCTGAGCATTTGATGGCATGTATTTGTGTTTCATAAACTTGTTGAATTAAGATTTATTTTCATGCTAAATTTAAATGTTTTGCGTTTATTACTCCTTTGGTTATTTCAAGAGTTCAACCTGATATAGTACTCATGTGTGAGTTTTTTACAGCCTGTGTCATGGCTTAGCCTTGTTTTGTTAATTATGACTGGCGGAGGACTAATTTTCTATTATGACCGAGAGAAGAAGCGGCATATAGAAGGTAAAGCACTTTAACTCTCTGAACAATCTGTTCTGCTACATACTCTAGTATATTCAATATTAATCTTTCCACGATTTTCTTGTCTACGGAAAAAAAAGTTTTTCAACAGAAATTTTGAGTTCTAATCTTCTTGTTAAATGCCATGAGAAGCCTAACCGGCATTGCCTAAGCTTTAGGTGTGCATGAATTGAACGTCTGCCTGGATTGTTTATCCCCTTCCTACAATATTCAAGGAAAAAAAAAGTTATCTCTATAGTATCCTTTTGTCACACATTGACAGTTCAAATTGCGACTCATAATTTTTTGGGCCTATGCTTAAACAATAGTGCATTTGCATTTAAATTGATAATTTTGAACCTTTTCTTCCAATAATGTCCGTTTCAAGGAGTGCAAATTTAAATTTGCTGAATTTTGTTGGGGGAAGACTAATAGAATGCTTTTTTATGTTATTGTAGTTTGTAGTCGGATTTCTCTTTAATTTTCACATTACATAAAATTTTCACATTCATTAGGTATGTTATGACAGATGCGCCTTTGTTTTTAAGATATAACATTTTGTCTCTTGCTGGAGGTAAACCATGGTTTATCTTGTATCCCATGTAATGGTTTACGTTTTCATCATTATGGATTTATCATTTAGTGCCAAATTTGTTTCCTTATTAAAAAAACACATATTTAGTTTATTTATTTATTTATTTTGTTTTATTGTTTCAACTTCTATATTGTGCTGAAAGTACTTTACTCTTTGGGTTCTTGATGTTTTGAGGCTTAAGCACTTGCCCCATTTAACAGGTGAAAATTTCTTTTTGTAGTTCTGAATCTTTTTCTAATTAATTTAGCATTTTTTTGGTCTTCAGGACTGAAGGCTGCAACGAGCTCAGTTAAACAGGGACCATCTGTGGGAACTGCTGCCATTGGTGGTCCATTTAAGCTGGTTAATCATGATGGGAAATCTGTTACTGAAAAGGATTTTTTGGGGAAGTGGACTTTAATATACTTTGGATTTACACACTGCCCGGATATTTGCCCTGATGAACTCCAGAAAATGGCTACAGCTATTGAGAAAATTAGTAAGTTGCGATCTCAAAATCTAGGATAGAACCTCCTATGCCAGAAAGAATCAAATTTCCAGAAAAAAAATGCATTATCAAATGCTTTTCTCAATAGATAGTATAATTTTCAACATTCTAACCTATTGTTTTCATGCTTGAATTGTATGTTTTTTTCTTTTTTATTTCCTATTGGCCTGTTGTTCATATGATGAAATAGAGCTGGGATTCCTCTAAAATAAAAGGTGTCGTGCTATAGTCTCATCCTTTTATCGTGAGTTCTTTCATTGAATTGAAGTTGCGTAAAAGGGAGGGCTTATTATTTCCTATCTAAACATTTGTTTGACGGTGTTTTATTGCATTAGCAGTGCTATATCTAATATGAGAAAATGACCAAAATGTTCTCTCAACTCTTTGTGAGGGATCAATTTGGTTCCTCAACTCTTTAAAATGAGGCTTCTTTTGGTCCTAACATCTAATGTTGGAGTTAACGGTGTTAAATATAAGGATATTTTGATCATTTTTTAATTAAACATTTATTAAATGTAGTTTTCAAGTAATTATAATTTTTCTAAAAAAAGTATTAAACATTTTTTTAATAATAACAAAAATTTTAGTTTTAATTTATAAAATTTTAGTCATATTTTATAAATATATGATATCTATTGATTTAGAGAAATCAAATGCAAATAGATGTTATTTTCAACTTAGTCATACATATTTTTACCGATTATATTTTATAAAATATGACTAAAGTTTTAAAAATTAAAATTAAAATTATTATTACTTTTTTTAATTAAAGTAACATTTAATAATTAAAAAAAACTATAATTACTTGAAAATTATATTTATTAAATGTTTAATTAAAAAATGACTAAAATATCATTAAATTTAACACCATTAACTACAATATTAGATGTTAGGACAAAAATGTTCCATTTTAAAGGGTTAAGGGATTAAATTAGTCCTTTAAAAGAGTGGAGAACTATTTTGGTTCCTCAGAAAGAGTTAAGAGATTATTTTGATCATTTTCTCTATCTAATATATACAATACAAATTTTCAACAACAAAAGTCAGAAATCTTAAATAACTGTGAGTTAATCTTCTTGTGAAAATGAATAAGCTTGATACTTTAATCATACTAAAATATTTGTGAAATTGACATTACTATGAGTTTCATATTTGTGTAATTGGTACGATATGGTGTAGGATTGTTTGCTAAGTGATGGGTAATTCATGCCAGAATTATGTAATTCCCTTTAGTTAACATTGTTTTATCATTTCATATATTTAATTTTTATAACCATATTAAGCAATTCAGAGTCAACAATATCAAGGTAGTTTTTTTTTGTATTTTTTAATTATATAGAAAAGCGTAAGATCATACTCGAGCAAATCCACACAAAAAAGGTTGCTGAGCTCAACTTTTCTTAGTTGGTCCAATCCAAGTTAAAAGCTGGGAGAGTGTTGATTGGTTCATGTATGAAGCAATCAAAGCTAAAAGAGGATTACATATATTTTTGAGTTGGGGAGAAGGCTAAGGAGATTGATAGTTTAATATTTAAACTTTGGTATTCAGGTATGAGTCGTACTAGAAATATTATAGGTGTGATTATGGATAAGAGTTTGAAAGATAATACTATAAAAATTAATAGAATTGAAGATAAAATTATAACTTTAAATATTATTGTTGATGCTAAGATTGTTAATATTATAAGTGCTTATGCTCATTAAGTAGGTTTGAATATGAGTTTAAAATTAAAATTTTGGAATGACTTAGAAGAATTAATACAAAAGATACCTCTTGAATAAAGAGTTTATTTGAGGATATTTAAATGGACATGTTGATAGAGAGGTGGATGATTTTAAAAGAATTTATGGTGGCCATGAGTTTGGACGACAAATGAAGGTGGTAAGATCATATTAGATTTTTTTTTAGCTTATAATTTTTTAATTGCTAATACCTTATTTAGGAAAGAGATGAGCATCTCATTACTTATAAAAATGGATATAGTAAAACTCAGATTGATTATTTTTTTATTAGAAAATTAGATCGTTCAGATTGCAAAGATTATAAAGTTATTCCGAGTGAAAGTTTATGTATCCAACATCGATTATTAGTTTTGGACTTTAAGATAAATGAGCTTAAAAAAATAAAGTAAAATGTTATTCTAGGATTAAGTGGAGCATTTAAAGACTGTTAACAAAAATATTTTTGAGATTAAGATTTTTGATCTTAAGATTTTGTCTGTGCATGAGGATGCTAATACTATGTGAAAAAAAGTAGCTAGTGATATTAAGAATATTGCAAAAGATGTGCTTGAAGTTTATAAGGGAAAAGCTCCTAATAGTATAAATAGTTTGTGGTGAAATACAAATGTGCAAGAAAAGATAAAAAATAAGAAGATTTATTATAAAAATTAGTTTAGATGTTAAAATTCTGATAATTGAAAAAGATATAAAGAGACACGTAAGGAATCCAAGAAAGCAATATGCGATGCAAAGATCTTAACTTTAATGATTTCTATAATAGATTAGATACTTAGCAGGGAGAAATATATATATATATATATATTAAGTTAGCCTATATATAAGTTAGCCAAATAAAGAGATACGAGTAGTGAAGATTTAGTTCAAATGAAGTTTATTAACGATGAATATCAAAATGTACTTTTCTTAGAAGATTATATTCAACAAAGGTGGATGAGATATTTTGATCAACTTTTTAATAAAAAATATGAAAATACGATTAGCTTTAGTGACCTTAGTTTTCTAAATGAAAATAAAGATTTCTATTTTTATCGGCGTATTTGTAAAACCAAAGTTAGAGAGGCTTTAAAGAAAATGAAGTGTGGAAAAGTTGTTGGACCTAATGATATTCCAATAGATGTGTGGAAATACTTAGGAGTTGAAAGAATTTCTTGGCTTACTAAACTTTTTATAATGTTTTGAAGACTAAAAAGATGCCAGAGAAGTGGAGAATGAGTGCGTTAATTCCTATTTTTAAAAATAAATGTGATGCACAAGATTGTGAAAATTCTAGAGGAATTAAGTTGATGTGTCATACTTTAAAACTATGGGAGCGAGTTATGGAGCGTAGGTTGCGGTGTGATACTAATGTTTCTTAAAATCAATTTGGATTCATGCAGGTTAGGTCTACTATGGAAGCCATACATTTATTGAGAGGTTTGATGGAGAAATATAGAGAGAATAGGGTGGATCTACATATGATATTTATTGATTTAGAGAAAGCATATGATAAAGTTCTAAGAGAAGTGTTATGGAGAGTTCTTGAAAAAAAAAAAGTAGTTAATAACACTTATATTCAAATCATTAAAGATATGTATGTAGGAGCATTTACTTGTATTCAAATACAAGGTGGTTTGACCAAGTATTTTTCTATTTTGATTGGATTACATCAAAGATCAGCCTTAAGCCCATACCTTTTTGATTTAGTCATGGATATTCTCACTAGACATTTGCAAGGGGTTGTACCTTGGTGTATGACTGTATGCTTTTTGCTAATGATATTCTTCTTGTTGATAAGACTAGAGAGGGGTTGAAGGTAAACTTGAATTATGGAGGTCAAGCTTAGAGTCTAAAGAGTAGACATTTTAGTAGATCTAAAAGTGAATATATGGAGTGTAGTTTTAGTGGTAATAGACCTAGCGAGGGGATTGTGACTTTGGGCGATCAAGTCATTAATAAGAGTAGACATTTTAGATATCTTGGATTTATTGTTCAGAGTGATGGTGAAATATATGGGGATATTATTAGCAGAATTTAAGTTGGATGGTTGAAGTGGAGGATTGCATCAGGCTTGTTGTGTGATAGAAAAGTCCCCCTCAAACTTAAGGGAAAATTCTATAAGATGGTGGTGAGACTTGCAATGCTTTATGGTGCCGAATGTTGGTCATTAAAAGAGAAGCATAATACTAAGTTAAGTGTTGTAAAGATGAGGATGCTCAGGTGGATGAGTGGGGCCCTTAGAGATGGGATATGAAATGAGTATATATGTGAAAGGTTGTAGTAGCTCCAGTGGAAGATAATATTAGAGAAAGTCGACTTAGATGATTTGGTCACTTAAAACGACAGCCTTCTGATGACCCGATTAGGAAAGTGAGGTATTAGATTTGATTTATGTTAAGAAAGGAAGAGGTAGACCTAAGAAGACTTGGTTAGAAAATATTAGAAATGATATTTCTTTATTAGATGTAAACAAGAGTTTGACTTTTAATAAGACACAATGGAGAAAAATAATTCATTTAGCAGACCCCACTTAGTGGGACAAAGGCTTGATGTTGTTGTTTGTAAAGTGTTGATTGATTCACGTTTTTTTTTTTTGGATCCGTTTGAGTCGAGCTTTACTCCATATAAAATCAATAAGCTGCATAAATTGTGGTGTAGGAATAATGATCCTAGTTTGGTTGCCTAATGAGTGAGAATAATGATCATTCAATCTGTTTATCTTGTCCTTTAATTCAACATCACATTTCTTGAAATTGATGTTGTTCTTGTCTTGGCTCTTCATTTAGTTATAGCTATGATTGGTGTCGGTTTGGTTGGGTTTTAACATCTTGGAAATTATTGGCGAGCCGAACTCTAGGCCTCCAAGTGATATAGGTCAATGCAAGTCTTTGACAGAATTGACCCACGTAGGCTTACCATCAGGCCCAACACAAGTTTTTTTGATCCAATTGACCCAAGCAGGCTTACCAACATAACACACAAGAATAATTCTCAGAGAACTAAAGATTCTATGTAATATTGTGCTTTGGTAGTTAGCAATTAATATGATACATCACACATGTAATGTTTGTTATTAGACATTATGCATGATTTAAGAAAATCTTACCTAACGATAAAAGACATTTATGAATGATGGTAATATCATTTAAAATTATTACATGAGAGTTTTAAGAAAGAAATCTTTTTGGAGGAGCCTAATTAATAGAATAATCAGGTATACATTAATTTATCTAAAATTATAAGTGTAGTAGCTCAAAGCAAGAGCTATACATGAAAATCTTTAGGTTAAATAGATGCTATGACATAAGAAGAATCTTTTTGTATTCAAGAATTAATGAGATGTTTAGGATAGTCATAATATAGAAAGATCATACTTAGTTGATTAAATATCGAGTATGTAATATGCAACTTTAGCAGGTAGTAGCTAATATTATTGAATGATCAAGTGATATCTAGGTGTCATAATCTTAAATCTCTTGGATATATTATATAACTTATATAGTTAAATTGGGTGGTTAAATAAGAAAAATGCCTTAATTTTTATTGTGCGATGAAATATCTTGAAGACTTGAAGGAAACTTTTACAATAGTTTAATTAATCAAATTAATTGCATTGATCTAAGTGTTGGGTAATAAAAAGCTACTGATAGACAAGTTGAACATGTCAAAAATGGAAATGTTAAGATGTATTTATGGCAAAATTAAAAGGGATTATTAAGAATACCTAGTGGGAGTATCATCTATTGAAGATTTGGTCGTGAAATACATTTGAGCATGTTTTTCAGCAGGTAAAGACGCACCAATAAGATGATAGAATAAATTTTAAGGATTAGGACGAAAAAGATACATGAAATTTACCTTGATGAAGTTTGTGCAAAAAAGATTACCATGAAATAGATTTAGCACTTCATGCATTATTCAACAGGGACAATTGAAGAACAAGCATTCATAAAGTTGACTCTGCATTGTTGTTATAAGGCTAATGATGATAATTATATGATTGTATTGATTGCTATTGTTGGAATTGGAAATGTAAGACTGCATTCATTAATCCTCCCTTGATCTCATATTGGCAGCTATATCATTGAATGCAAACTTCCATTAATTCTTTCTTTCTTCTCAACTACTCCAATAGGCTAGAACGCTCTTCATAGCGTGATCAAAATTTGATTTTCAGTCCTTCTGGCTTCCTGAATGACCAGGTCTTACATGATTGCTATTGTTTAGCTTTCCATGAATACTCCTTTTTACATTTCCACAGTTCTGCTGCTATTTGTTTTTGTGTAGATTCAAATGAATCCCAATCAATTTCTCACTATTTTTTTTTCAGAATCAACGGCAGGCTTGGAAATTGTCCCTGTTTTTATATCTGTTGATCCGGAGAGAGATTCAGTTGAGCAAATACATGATTATGTAAAAGGTTTGTTTCAATCAGTTTTTTTAATGTGAAGTGAAAATCAGAGAAAGCGAATGGGTTATTTAACCGTCAACAAGAGTTCTGAAAGTTGTCTTTTGAGCGTTGAAGTTCACTTTTTAACATCATTGTTAAAGTTCTTGAGCTGCTTCTTAAATTCTGGTTTTTACAGAATTTCACCCTGATTTAATTGGATTGACTGGTACACCAAGTGAGGTTAGACAAGCTGCTCGTGCTTATCGAGTTTATTATATGAAGACTGAAGAAGAAGGTTCTGATTATCTTGTCGACCACTCTATTGTCATGTATGGCTTTCCAAACTCCTGCATCGTTCTTTTGTTCACCTTATTTTCAAATTATTCAGGGATACAATATATTATATATTAGCATCCTGAGGCGATGTAATTCAGGTAGATCTATATTCTATACTTCTCATCTAGGTTGGAAAAATTTTCCTCCATCGATAACATTTTGTCCTCAAATGCCGATTTGAGTTTGCCAACTTTTTCTTGAAGACGCTCTTCCAAGGCATCAACTTTCCTTGCCGTCATAGGGTCCCAAAAAAGTGCTATGATACCAATTTGATAGGAAGTGCTTGCAGAAATTTGGGAAAAACCTTGGCTAAAATCTGATTTCAGCCATTTCAGAAAGACAATGACAAGGAAATCAGGAACAAAACACACAAGAACATTTTTTTAATTGAAAGTTTTATGAAAGAAAAGACAAGATACAAGTGGATCTTTAATTGGAGAGGAAGAGCCTTGGAGAGGAAGATCCGGCTCTCCCAAATCTCTAGCCGCCAGCTAGCCCAGACAACCTTAGAACGGTCTAATTTCAGCAACCAACATAACCCTAACCCTAGGAAAAAGCGCCCTACTTAAAGGATACAATAAACGACAAATACCCAAACAACCCTCCCTCAATTTCCTCTCAAATCAGCCTCCTTTTCCTAAATAATTTCCTCTCATATTTGAATTCAAATTAGATCTTTCGCCCTAAATAATTCTCTCCCAATTGTAATTAAAACTTTTCCTAAACAATTCTCCTTTGATTAAGAACCTTCATAAATAGTTTCCTCTTCATTAGAAAACTTCATAATTCCCTTCCAATCAAATTGGCTAGTCCATCAGATTGGCTTAGTGGTAAATCAAAGGATCTATTGATTAGGTGGTTGTTCTCAATCTAAGGCTATATAATGTTGGAGATATGTTGGAGTGTTTATGAAGTGCTTATAATCAAGACAATGCAATCAGACATTTCTAATTAGAATGTAAGATTGCTAGTGACACCTAAAAAATGATATTTCCGTTTAATATTATTTCTCTATATTTCAGAATTTATGGAGTGAATTTGTTGACATGATTTATGCTTTAAGTAACTATTGAATCTCTTTCTATTGTTTAAAAAATTAATGAACGAAGCATAAGAGATCAATTTCGGATGAAACTTCATTTTAAATTTGAGGCGACCTGTTCCAATTTGATGAATCATGATTCTTATCTTTCTTTGAATGCATTCTTTAAAGAATTACTTCATAAAAAGTAATATCTTGTCACACAAACTGCTTTCCTAAAAAAAATTCATGAGAATGCAGTTTCTTAATTCATCCCACGCGACATGCATAGTGAGAGATATGTAAGATGCGAAAAGCTTCAATTACAAGGATTATTAGTAATATTGTTGTCAATTGTGTAAAAAAAAAAAAGAATTATTGTAAGAAGCGTGGGCTTATCATTACATAATGTCATATTCATATTCATGGGCATCAATCAAATGCTAAACAAGTTTTTGTTACTAATTAGCACATTGGTTTAGTAGGTGTAGATAAATAAGATCTTACAATTTAGTAGATGATTATTAAATTTTTTCAGCCTTAGTGCTTTAAGGTATGGATAATCTATCTCCTTTATCTTGGCTTGCGGATTATGGTATGTCCTAGCATATGATTGGCTCCTCACATCTTATTCATAATATTCGTTCATTTCATGTTTCATCATCTATTCTGATTGCTAATGGTAGTCAATTATATATTCATGCTATTGGGAGAATTAATTTTTATGTCATTGATGTCATTGTATCTTCTCATTATTCTATCAGCCATATTTTTGTGGGAAAATACATTGATAATCACTGTAATATTTTATTATTTCTTGATGATTGTATTGTTCAAGATCAGATGACAAGAGAAATACTCATCAATGGGCCTAAATTTGGATGATTATTTCCTTTATATATTTCTATTCTTAAGTTTGCCTATTGTTTTGTTTATATTAAGGGGCTGTTTGGTTGGCTAAAAAAAAAATACATAGTAAAATGGAATGCAATGTAAAAAAAAAAAGCAATGTATCAATGTTTGGATGAGTGTAAAGTAAATGCATGTGATTATTTTTTTTATTTGACTTGAAGTAAAATGAATGCAGTGTAAAAGCCCAAATACGGTGGTTGTTAATGGAAAGTGGGCGGAAGATAGTGGTCAATGGCGACGAATGATACTTCATCATATAATTCATATAAGATCTATCCATCTAGATATTATTATATATATCTAGAAAGACGTATACTTTGGAAAAGCTTGCACAATTTAGAAAAGGATTTTAGTTAATAAAAAAGAACCTACTTCAACTGATAAGCCCTTAGGCACGACCATATAGATGCCTGCCCTTAGGCACGACCATACATGGTCAGTGGCAGCAGGTGGTGGTGGTTGGCAGAGGCAGCGGTTGATGGTGGGTAGTGGTGGTCGACTATGACGGTTGCTAACAATAATTGCAAAGAATTTATAGTATTTTATAATCGCCAAAATTTAACGAATTCTAAATACATTAAAATTAAACTAATGTGTATTCCAAATACCTAAATTTTGCCCCATATTTCTTTTATTTTAAATCAAATACCAATATTTCAAATTTAAATCAAATACCAATATTTCAAAATCCCTGCATTTGAAATACTTTACACCATTTTTACTTCGAACCAAACAACCCCTAAATTGAAATGGTAACATTTGTCACAATCGCTTGGGTCATCCTAATTCTATTATTTAATCTCATATAATAAACTCTAGTTTTGTTAGATGATAAAGGTCATTTCTCTTCACATATTTCTTCTAATTTTTCAAGCTATAAAATTAGAAAAGGCAAGTTTTTTCTTTTTCCATGCATTGTAATCGCGTTGAAGATTGTTTTGATTTGATTCATAGTGAGTGTGGGGTATTACTCATATTATATTGTCGTCCAATCAACAATATTTTGATGTTCATTGGCGATTACATCAAGTATACTTGAAGCTTCAACTCTTTTAAAAATTTGTTGCTTTGTTGAAATTCAATTTTCCTGCAACATCAAAGTGTTAAGATCCAATTTTAAGGATGAATATTTGTCATTTGAATTTTATGATTTTCTTCAGAAAAGGGAATTTTTTTCGATGATCATGCCCACTTCTCACAATGGTTGTTTTTGTTTGATCAATGCTCCAATAGATGCTGTATTGTTCTTCACATGTTGTTTTCTTTGAAATTAAATTTTCTTTTTTGCTTTTGTTGAGCCTTTACTCGAGATAGATGTTCTTCCTTGTTATGATAAATTGGATCTTAGTCCTGAATGATTCAAACCTACATTTATGTATAAAAGAAAACGCTTAACTTGACCACTTCCAGAGCAAGACCTTCTTGTCAGCTTTTGTCCAAATTGATCCTCCACTTGAAACCATGAGTTAAAATTTGACCTCTTCGCCTTAACGGTCTTCCAGAATCACTCATCCAAATTGGTACGGCTTTCAAAGTATGTTGGCTTCTATTCTCATTCCGTAATGTTATTGAGAGTCTATTAACTGTGATTGTTCCTCTTACTTCAACCCCTTGAGGATACATTTGATATCTTCATTGTCTTTCTAATGTTACTTTCATTAGTTATAAATGAGTTTACTCATTCAAACTTTATTCTAACGGTACTTTGGATCGTTATAAGGCATGTGTGATTGTGATTGATAACAAACAAGAGTAGAGAGTTGACTGTGAGAAAATTATTGCTCATGCGGCTAAAATGATTATAATACAAATAGTTATCCCAATCCTTATTTTACAAGGATGGCGACTTCATTAAGGCTTCGTTTGTGACGGCTTTCTTACTGCTTATTAAAGCGGCTTTCTAGCACAAAAAATCTAGTTTTTGTACTAAAAAGCCGCTTTAAGAAGCAGGAAGAAAATCATCCCAAACGAAGCCTTAGTTAACATCAAAGACATCTTTCTTTGTAGTGATCTCGAGGATATTTACACTGTTTGCATATCCTCTCTTTTTTTGAATATATGTAAATTGAAGCCCTCTCCATAAGGGTTGAAATAGGCTCCTTGGGCATGATTTTATTGTTTTTCCTTTAAGCTGAGCACATTTAGCTCATCTTTATTTCTTTACAAGACATCTATTGATATTGTTTTTCTCCTTATTTATGCTGTGCGATACATCTGGCAAAATCTCCTCTGATTCTCCAAGCTGCTTGTTGATTATATCATCTGCAAATTGACTTTCAGGTACCTAATGAACCCAAATATGGAGTTTGTGAAATTTTATGGCAAGAATTACGATGTTGATTCACTTGCTGATGGCATAATCAAAGAGATAAAACAGTACAAAAAGTGAAAAGATGCTCACTGACTTTAAATTGTGACCAGAGGTTTGCCTGTTCCCTTCCAAGTTTTAAGATATTCAATTTTAATTGATAATTTTGAGCAGAATATATGAAATTTGAATTAGGATAGCTTAACCCATTTTTTTAATCATTTGGTTACTGGTTATTATTTTGATTTACAGGTTCTTGTGTCGATTTAAGAATGAAGAGTCTTAGCAGAAGGATCAGAATGGCTTATATTTATCATTTCTGAAATGTAAAAGACTCTATTTTTCATGATTTATTCATTTATTCTATAAGACAGTTCTTATAGGGTAAAATTTTGTTATAAAAAGCCAGTTTCTGATTCTTATGATTCAATTTTGCGGCAGTTGGAAAATGCTGTATTGAAGGCTGAACTTCCACTTAGGGCTGAACCAAACATTAAATAGTCGATTCTTAAATAAACAAACTTGAACACTAATGCCTTCGGCTCATTTATGTTCGCGAACAATATCATTTGAAGCTTGTGAATAAACTCGACATTAAGCTCGATTCGTGTTCGATTTTGAACTCATGAATTAGCTCAATAAAAATAAGTAATATTTGATTATAGAATTAATAAATATGTTCATGAATGTGTTTGTTTGATAGTTTAGAAAAATTTGTTAAATATGTTCGTGAACATGTTCGATGTAATCGTTTGTTAGGAAGCTCGATAAAGCTTTTTTGTTAAGTTCATGGTAGAGCTCGTTCATACTTGTTTGTATAAAGCTTGATAAATACTAAACGAACTGAACATGAGTACTCATTAATTTAAATGAATCAAACATGAACACAAACAATAAGGCTCAAACAAACATGACCAAACTTGAACAAGCTGATATTAAATGAACACAAACATGAACACTTACATACTCAGTTCGACTCGGTTCATTTGCAGCCCTACAAATTTTAACGGTTAGAAATTTATTTTGGTACTTCAACATTGCTTGATGTTTTAATCCAACTATAATTTAGATGAATTTTAAATATTTTAAAATAAATTTTGGTACTTCAACATTTCTCCTGGTGATGCACTATATTATATTGCTTTTTTTAATTACACTTATCTGCTTCTACTCATGCAATTTAACGATGATGCGACCTAATGACCTTGCCACGTTTCCTTCTTTTATTTCAAAAATTCGTAAAATGTGTAATATGATTAAATTGTGTAAAAATTAGATTGAATTGTTTTATTAAAATATGTAAAATGTAAAATATTATTATAAATAAAAATTTGAAATTACACCACTAGCTTATGTCGTTATTTAAAATATAATTTTTAGGAACGAAAATGCCCTCACGCAGTATTGATCTGTAAAATGTAAAATATTATTATAAATAAAAAATTGAAATTCCGCTATCAGCTTTGTCATTATTTAAAATATAATTTATAATTATAGTATATATAGGAATAAAAATGCCCTCACGCAGGATCGAACTGCGGACCTTCAGTTTACAAGACTGACGCTCTACCACTGAGCTATAAAGGCTAAGTGATCTAAATGGGGTATTATTATGTATTTAAATATTTAACAACCATTACCCTACTTCCATTGCTCTGGAGCTTTCTTTTTCCTCTTCCCTATGAGCTATAATGATACAAAAATTAAAGAAATCAAGTATAAATATATATGTGAAAGTTTGGCTTGAGCTCAAATTATGCATGAACAATTTTTAATATAATCAATAAGCCCAATCCATATTATTCTCTGCTTGGCTCAACTCAATTACAAAACTAAGCTGACATTATTGAAAAAAAATTAAATGTTTAACAACCTTCATAATCGATTTTTACATGAAATCTTTCTAACATTATTAAAATTCTTAATTGTCATTCATTCGACAATTATTATTTCAAAATTTTTACTTTGATACCGTTAGACTCTTACTATTATATCCAAATCTATTATAATACATAGAACATTAACTCATTCTCTAATTGTGAGGATGGCCATCCTTTCTAATCATTAAATCAATGATGAAACTATTTCTTCAATCAACATTCTTCCAATAGATGCCCGAATATAGGGGTGTCAATATTTGATACGACACGAAAATCCGACCTGGACCCGACCCGAAAAATCCGGATTGGACCCGATCGGATTTCAAAACGGGTTAGGTTCGGGTTGACCCGGTGGGTTGCCGGGTCAACTCGAAAACCCGTTTAATTTAAAAAAATTGGATTCCCAGCCCCCCGTGACCCGTAATTGACACCCCTACCCGAATATAGTGTATTAGTTGAAAAAGCTTTGAGAAATCATATGCTAAGTTTGTGTGTATTACTTCAATACTTGATTGTTAAAAATTTTTATTTGAGTTTAAATTTAAATACATATAAATTAATAATAATAATTTTCAATTTTCAATCTTGTTAAGAAAAATTCTCTACGAGTTCTTTTATTAATACAATGTACATTCCTTTCTTTTATTATGAACATTAATTCTTCGCGGTTTGTTTGTTTTTTTTTTTGGGAAATTTTGGGGCCAAAGCCCTTATATTTCAAAATAAAAGAGTTACATTAGAGAAAGAAAAATAAATGACTAAACCTTGCATAAGCAGAAAATAGAACAAAACCTTATGCAAAGTCTTAAAAAACCACAACTATACCACCCAATAACAAAAAACAACAAAAATTTTTCAGATCAAAACTTGAGTAAGATCGTGAGATGGCTTGTAACGAAAAACCACGAGCAGCAACGATCCAGGACTCAGCAAAAAAAGGCTGGCAGAATAAACATCCAAAAGAGCTCCAGCATCCAGATCCAGCAATCAGCAAAAGGAGCCTGAAAATTAAGAAAACCAAAAGAAAAAACAGGACAGTAGCAGCAAAAAAGGATCTCCAAAAGTGCTCCAGTTTCCATATAATCGGGCCTCGGCGTTTATCATGAGCAGACAACATATCCCTGGTTGCCCCGAAGGCCCTCCAAGGGAAGGAAGTAACAGAGAGTAACAGCTGTGTATGAACATAGTTTTGATAATAACCACCAAACCAGCAGAACAACAACAGCATTAGCATAAAATTACCAATCCAGCAATCAGAAATTCTCCAGTAACTCATTATAATTTTTCCACCTAGCAACTTTTTCAATAATCAGCCTTTTTATAAGATAATGAAGAGAGGAAGAGCTACGAAACTCATTACCAAATCTCCTGCAATTTCTTTCTCTCCAAATTTGGTAAATGATGCAGCAAATCATTAGGAAATAGAAATTCCTATGGTATTTGGAATTAGAAAATTCATTCTCCACCCATTGGCACAGTTGCAGAATAGTAGGTCTGAAGAAAAAGTTCTTCGAACTGGGAATGAGAGAGTTTAGTATCAAAAAGGAGTAGGAACACTCAAAGAAAAGATGATTCACAGTTTCAGGAGCGTAATGACAGAGTGAGCAAGTTTCTTGCACATAAATAGATAATTTGATTTAACCAAAGCAGCAGTTTTACAAACAGACCTCCAAAATTTGCTAGCATCAGAAGATGGAGGACGCCAGGGAGACAAATAATGAGCAGTTAACCAGGCAGATAATGGAGAATTAGAATTATACATCCGATATATGATAGAGCAGTTAAAAGCATGAGTAAGAGCACTTAAAGTAGGAATGCCCAAACCTCCTTTCAAAATAGGCTTGCAAACAGTGTCCCAAGATATCATATGCAGTTTTTTTAAGCTAGAAATGTCTCCAAAGAATAGAAATTTAGAGCAGATTTTCTTAAAAAACTTAATAACAGTTTTAGGTAAGATGGAACCCCTGATCCAATAAGCAATTGTATTTTGAATAGTAAACTTTAAGTATTGCAGTCTCCCGGCCAGAGATAGAAGATTAGCTTTCCATCCTGTAAATTTCTTATTCAACTTATCCATCAAAGGCAGGAAATCAATGATCTTCAACCTATAGAAGGAGATAGGAATGCCAAGATATGTGATTTTTGATGCAATATTATAGATAGAGAGAGCTTGGCATAACCTATCTTGATTTCTTTGATTTTTTGAGAACATAACAGAACACTTTTCAAAATTAATATGCAAACCCGTAGCAATTGCAAATTCATTAAGAATAGCAGAAAGTGTTAAACAATTTTCCACTGTAGCCTCACCAATGATTAAAACATCATCCGCATAAAGAAGATGAGATAATTGATAGTCACCATCTTTAAAACCTTTAAAACCTCTCTCTTCCAAAAGATTGGATAAGGCATCCATGACCAAACAAAATAAATAAGGACTAATAGGGCAGCCTTGCCTTAGCCCCGAAGAAGAAGAGAAATAACCTTCCAAAGCACCATCAATAATCACAGAAAAATTAACATTTGTAATACAAGCCTTAATCCATTGGATAAAAGGTTTAGGAAAACCTTTTTGAGACATTCGTGCAAGCAAAAATTCTCTGGAGACCGAATCAAGGCTTTTTTGATATCAATTTTTGCACAAAAATAGTTACCCAAACCTCTCTTATTAACCAAAGAAAGGATATCACTAGCAAGGAGAATGCTATCAGTGGATATTCTCGATTTCACAAAACCAGCTTGCGTGTCTTTCACAATAAGAGGCATAATAGGTTTCATCCTTATAGCAATAATTTTTGCAATAATTTTGTAGAGAGTATTGCATAAAGAAATCGGCCTGTAATCAGAGATAGAAGTGGCATTTCGATGTTTGGGAATGATAGCTAGAGCAGTAGCTTTGATCCCACTTGGAAGAAACCCTTTTAGGAAGAAAAATCTGATAGCTTTGCACACCAACGGACCAATGATATGCCATCCAGATTTATAGAAGTGGTAATTGAAACCATCAGGGCCGGGAGAGGATTTAGAAGAGCCTTTAAAAACAGCAGCCTTTATTTCATCATCAAAAATAGGGGCAGTAAGAAGATTAGAGTAACAATCAGGAACAGTAGGCCCAATAGGAAAAACATCCACATTCCTATAAGAAGAAGGAAGAGGATTAAAAAGTTCCTGAAAATGCCCAATAATAGAATTGATCACCTCTTTCTTATCAGAAGTAGGGTTACAGGAAAATAAATTAACAACAGATTTAGTACTTCCCATTCTACTTCTAATTTTAGCATACAGAAATTTTAAATCATCTTCACCATGATGAAGCCATTTAATTTTAGCTCTCTGAATAACCCAACTAGCCTTCATAGAAGAGATCTCAGAAATTTGTGAATTTATGTCTTTGAGAGCAGCATTGAGAGAAGCATCCAGCTGAGAAATCTCAAGGAGAGACAAAAAATTCTGCTGTTTGACATGCAGAGCATCAAGCTTAACGTCTAAAGAGTTAGAGTTGGCCCATTTATGTTGTTTAATATCACCTTTAAGACGTTTAAGAACATTACAAAAGTGGGATAAAGGATTCCCAGTAATCGGCAGAGAAATAGCATTTAAAAGAAGATACCAGTACATATCATGCTTAGCCCAGAAATTCTTGAATAAGAAACGGTGATAAGAAGTAGTGGTGACACCTGAATGTAAAATAATCGGAGAGTGGTCCGAGCAAGAAGGGCTCTGATAGGAGCAATAAGAAGAAGAAAAATTCTTCATCCAATCATCATTAACAAGAGCACGATCCAATTTAATAAAAATAGGGTTATTAGCTTGCTGATTGTACCAAGTAAAAAAGTTACCCACAGAATACAAATCCATCAATTTATTAGCAAAAATTATAGAATTAAGATCAGCCATACTAGAATGATGGAGAGCAGAGCCACCAGATTTCTCATTAGCATATCTACAACAATTAAAGTCCCCCAAAATAGCCCAAGGAAGGTCGGAAGAGGGAGCAACTTGACTGATAGAAGTCCATAGATCTTTCCTTTCCGAAGAGCCATTAACCGCATAAACAAAAGATAACTGAAAAGGGTTCTGATTACCCACAGTAACAATTCCATTTATTAATTGCGTTGTCACAAGAGAAGGAGAAAAAGCAATCTTACTAGAATCCCATTTAACCCAAATTCTTCCAGAGGAAGAGAGGTTAAAATTATTAAAACTGGCTTCATTCGGAAACAAGGAATGAGCTGAATCAAAAAAGGGTTCCATAAGGGAAGACGCATGAACACGAGTTTCAAGCAAACATAGCATGTCCAGCTTAAAAGAAGAAATAAGTCTTTTACAACTTAAAACTTTTTCAAGCTTATTAAAGCCTCTAACATTCCAAACCCCAATGTTAGGAAAGGACATTAGGAAGTATTTTGAGATTGGGATTTTTTGTTCTGCTTTCCCTTAGCAGTTTTCCTGGATGTTTCTACCATTGGCTGCTTCTTGCTTTTCCCGGATTGCTTATGAGAGTTGTCAGCAAAATCATTACCTGAAATCAAAACATCCTGCTGATCAGATTCAATTTGAGTGCTTAAAATCTCAAACTTATTAGGTGAGGTAATAACAGTAGATTGTTTGTGGGTAATGTTCATCATAGAGGATGAAGAATCAGAGATTTCTTCAGTAGGTATGTTAAGATTTGGGATATTTGCAACGATAGGATCAGTCACAGGATCCACAAAGGTATTGCTGGCTGGTTCCACATAAGGGAGCATACGGGACGGCAATTCCTCAGCCAAAGAATTAGACTGCGGAATATCCTTAGAAGTCGAAGGAGGAGGGGAGTGAACTTGATAATGTAAAGGTTGTCCAATACTGTTCAAGTGCTTAGGTGAAGATGGAATATTGGAGGGTCCAGCTATAGATGGAGTGGTAGAATCTTTAGGCCTGGAGTCCGACCGAGGGGGTCTGTTGTTTGTGGGGGGTCTCGACGGATAACGATTAGTAGGTTTCTTACTGAAACTTCTTCCACGGGTTTTGGAGGAATCATTTACCTGATCATTCGCAGCAGGTTTAGGATTTTGAGGACATGAAGAAGAATAGTGGACAAGAGATTTGCAATGCTCACAAGGCACCGGTCTCCATTCATATTGAACCTTCAACTCAACTATATCCCCGTCCAGAGAAACTTTGATAACATCAGGATAAGTAGCATTACAGTCAACAAGTACACAAACCCGAGCAAAGGTGAGCCTAGTTTTTTGCTCCGTAAGTTGATCAGCAGCCACCGGAACCCCGATCTTGCTGGCAATTCTCGAGATACCCTCCGAATTCCAGCAAGCAAGAGGGAGGTCGTGGATTTTAACCCAGATAGGGACAGAGGCAAAGTTTTCCCTCTTAGGTTTAAATTTAGGATGCCACTTTTGGAGAACAAAGGGTTTACCAAGCAAAAACCACACTCCTTTTGACCATGCCATATCATAATCCTCTTCACAAGAAAAACGCAAAAGGAAAAAACCATCACTTAATGAGAGAAGTTGCAGAGAACCTTTTAGAGTCCACGTTTTGTTGATCGCTCCCAGCAGAGCTTCATAAAAGGGCCTCCGACCGATAGAGTAGCCAACAAGACAAAGTCTCCAGTCATCACCTCCTTTTGCAAGCTTGTCACTTGAAAAAGGAATAACCTCCGGCTCCGAAGGATGGTGCGAAAAGTTGAAGACTTTGGGAGCAGACGAGGAATCTGGAGCAAATATTTGGTTCCAGTTGCGTAGAGAGACCGGAACAGCAGCTGTAGTAGAAGAAAGGGGTGGAAAACCGGAGGAGAGAAGAGAGGTCTCCATGCAGGGGAACCTCCGGCAGAGCCGGAGGGGCGGCGGAAAGGAAGAAGCTCAGCAGGAAAAAATCGCAAACCCTAGCAGAGCCGAAAAGCACCTGCGGTTTGTTTGTTTATGTATGTTATTTATGTCATTAATGCTATATATTGACATATCAATTTATATATTTTGTGTTACGGATGTTATGCTATAGCATTTAAATTGCGCAATTTAGTGTTATAAATGTTGTGTCATATCTCTTATATTTTACTATATGTATGTGATATGGCTATTTTGTTCTCTTTTAAATCACATTTAATTTTATCTTATAGTATGCCCTGTTATTACTGTTGTGATTGTACTCACTTTGTTATATTAATAGCTCTATGTTAATCTTATTTTAATAAAGTTCATATTATGTTATTATCATGACGTAATATGTTTGATTCATTTGAGACTGATTTCAAAAGTAGCTTGTTAGTTCAATTTTTATTTTATTTTAGGGACGGGGTATCTACCCATTCATCCTCTTAAGAGATGTTTGGCGGCGTAACTAATCCCTCGACGAGTCTACTAGCAACAAGCCCACAGGTGCAGTACCCACAATTATTTTCTCTCAACTTAAGAAGTCGCGCAGCATGAGAGGGAAATCGAACATGAGTTGGGGGGTTCCCAACCATGCTTGCCCACCAACCCAACTAAACTTGATGGAGTTAGAGAAGAATTAAATAAAAAAAAATTGCCTCAAATGAAGCCTTATTCGAACAACTAACAAGAGTTCCAACCTCTATTACAATTACAATGGAAGAGAATTCGGGCAATATTACATGGGATCCAAACCTTATTCTTATATGATAAAATTAGGGAAATTTATATACATACCACTTTATAACATCATATTTACATCTCTAATAATGTTTTTCTTGGCGATGCCCTAAAATTTACGACGTGGCATGATAGCCCCACATATTATTGTAGTAGGCAAATATATATATATATATATATATATATATATATATTATATATATATAATATATATATATATAGGATAAATTTTAGGGAGATTTACATGCATACCATCTAATACTAATTCTATTTACATATTTAACATCTAAAACTTTAATATTACGATTACATACCTAAAAATTATCTGATCGGCGCTTCGAATCTTGAGGCAAAAGCTAGTTGGAAACTTCAAAAAGTAATTTGGGGCCCGGCCCGAACTCTGATTTACAGCAAGCTTCATATTCAAGATTGTGGCGGCTCACAATACAAACCCAATGCACACCTAAGATTCAACCCAATCTGAGCCCAAATGAGTCTGAGATCATAGGGCTCAAAGCGCTTGTTGGAAGGTGTAAACCGCAATTAGATGTTACCATATACGAGTCTCTCAATTTTGACGATTATACTCGATTTTCGAGCGGTTCGACGAGGCAGAAGCTACAAACGAGGCCTGAGACTCGCCAAATGCCGACGTCATTAAGGCTTCCAAATGTTCGCATACTGAAGTCTAGTGTGACGATCAATATGGGCTCTTTCCAATATCATTTACCGTTTCCATTCAAACCCTGCCTATGCGCCCATGTCACGCCGTTATTTGACGTGAGTTTATGCCCACCCAAAGAGAAACGATATAAATTAGATTGAGCATATCTGTCTCAGTATGGGGTGACCTAGTAATAGAGAGAGGAAGAAGAAGAGAAGATAGGGAGAGGATTGTCGAATGAATGACAGATTAGAGAGTTGTAATTAATGTGTAAGATGAGATTCATGTAAAAATCAATTATGAAGGTTGTTAAACATTTATTTTTTCAAAGTTTACTTAGTTTTTGTAAATTGAGTTGAGCCAAGCAGAAAATACATATGGATGGCTTATGATTATAGTTGAAAATTTTGTCTCGCATAATTTGAGCTCAAGCCAAACTGTCAGCACTATATATTTATAACTTGATTCTTTAATTTTGTATCATTTGCTCATAGGGAAAAGAATATAAGCAATGAGTAGCGGTAATGGTTGTAATTAAATACGTAATAATAAGATTTAGATCACTTAAGCCTTATAGCTCAGTGGTGAGCGTCATCTTGTAAACTGAAGTCCGCAGTTTCGATCCTGCCGTGCAGGGCATTTTCATTCCTAATATACTATAATTATAAATTATTTTTAAATTAATGACAAAGCTGATTGCGAATTTCAATTTTTTACAATATATATTATATAATTACAGATCATATCCTGTCGTGAGGGCTTTTCATTCTATAAATTATATTTAATATAACGACATAATGCTGGTGATGTAATTTCAAATTTTATATAATATTTTCATTTTACAATCATATGTAAAATAATTTCAATCTAATTTTACACAATTTAATCAATTACACATTTACGAATTTTTGAAATAAAAGAAGGAAAAGTGGCCTAAGGTCATATTATCGACATATCGTTTAAATTGCATGAGTAGAAGAAAATAAGTGTAATAAAAAAAACAATATAATATAGTGCATTCACCAGGAGAAATGTTGAAGTACCAAAATTTATTTTAAAATAAATTTAAAATATTTAAAATTCTATATCTAATTATAGTTGGATTAAAACATCAAGCAATGTTGAAGTACCAAAATAAATTTCTAACCGTTAAAAATTGTAGGGCTGTCAAATGAACCGAGTTAATAGAGTATATTGTTCATGTTTGTGTTCATTTAATATCAGTTTGTTATCAGTTTGGTCATGTTTGTTTGAGCCTTATTGTTTGTTTCATGTTTGATTCATTTAAAATTATGAGTACTCATGTTCAGTTTCGTTTAGTATTTAATCAAGCTTTATACAAACATGTATGAAACGAGCTCTACAAATGAAACTTTTAAAAAACTAATAATAAAGTTTAATCGAAGCTTCCTAAACAAACGATTACATCGAACATGTTCTGCGAACATATTTAACAAATTTTTTTAAACTATCAAACAATACACATTCATGAACATATTTATTAATTTTCTATAAATCAAATATTACTTATTTTTATTGAGACTACATTCATGAGTTCAAAAAATCGAACACGAATCGAAGCTTAATGTCGAGCTATATTCACAAGTTCAAATGAATAATATATTAGAATAATGAGCCGAACGCATTAGTGTTCAAGTTTGTTTATTTAAGAATCTACTATTTTAACGTTTGGTTCAGCCCTAAGTGGAAGTTCAGCCTCAATACAGCATTTTCCAACTGCCGCAAAATTGAATAATTAAGAAATAAGAACTGGACTTTTATCTAGCAAATTTTTACCCTATAAAGAACTGTCTTATCAGAATAAATGAATAAATCATGAAAAATAGAGTCTTTTACATTTCAGAAAATGATAAATATAAGCCATTGCTGATCCTTGTGCTAGCCTCTTCATTCTTAAATCGACACAAAGAACCTGTAAATCAAAATAATAAAGATTAAAAAATGGTTAAAAGACTATCCTAACTTCAATTTCATTATATTCTGCTAAAAGAATTTCAATTAAAATATTGAATATCTTAAAACTTTGAGAAGAAGTACAGCAAACCTCTGGTTTCAATTAAAGTCAGTGACATTTTTCACTTTTTATGTAGCTGTTTATCTCTTTGATTATGCCATTAGCAAGTGATCAACATCGTATTCTGCCATAAAATTTCACAAACTCCATATTTGGGTTCATTACGGTACCTGAAAGTCCATTTGAGATGATATAATCAACAAAGTCAGCTTGGAGAATCAGAGGAGATTTTGCCAGATGTATCGCACAGCATAAATAAGGAGAAACAACAATATAGATGTCTTGTAAAGAAATAAATGAGCTATATTGTCAGCTTAAAGGAGAAGAACAATAAAATACATGCCCAAGGACCTATTTCAACCCACATGGAGAGCGCTTCAATTTACATAATATTCAAAAAGAGAGGATATGCAATGGACAGTGTAAATATATCCTCGAGATCACTACAAAGAAAGATGTCTTTGATGTTAAACTAAGCTTCGTTTGGGATGATTCTTTCCTGCTCATCTTCTTAAAGCGGCTTTTTAGATACAAAAAACTAGCATTTTTTTGTGCTTCTAGAAAAGACGCGTTAATACAGCAGTAAGCCGTCACAAACGAAGCCTTAATGATGTCGCCATCCTTGTAAAATAAGGATTGGGATAAACTATTGTGTATTATATTCAATTTTAGCCCGCTGAGCAATATTTTCCTCACAGTCAACTCTCTACTCTTGTTTGTTATCTATCACAATCACACATGCCTTAATAACGATCCAAAGTACCGTTAGAATAAAGTTTGGAATGAGTAAAACTCATTTTAGACTTAATGAAAAAGTAACATTAGAAAGACAATGAAGAAATATCAAATGTATCCTCAATGGGGTTGTAAGTAAGAGGAAATCACAGTTAATAGACTCTCAATAACATTACGGAATGAGAATAGAAGCCAACATACTTTGAAAGCCGTACCAATTTGGATGAACTTGATTTCTTGGAAGATCGTTCAAGGCCGAAGAGGTCAAATCTCTAAACCTCATGGTCTATCAAAGTGAGGATCAATTGGCAAAAGCTGACAAGAAGGTCTTGACTCTGGAAAGTGGTC